AAACCCCGCCCTTCCTCATGCGTGTCCATCCAACCCCTTTCCCTCCCCAGGCTGAACCTGAAGCTGAAGACGGAGACCTGGGGACCCTGGCGTGCGGGCGGCTCCCGCCAGGTGTGTTTTGTCCTGGGTCACGGTGAGCAGGTCGTGCTGCAGGCCTCCGGCAAGAGACTGCAGGTCAGCATCGGGCCCGGCCTGCCTAACACCTCACGTGAGTGTCGGGCGGCAGGACCCCGCTGCCCCTCTGCCACGCCCTAGGGAGACGTATGCCACTGTATAGACAGACAGTCGTCTCTTTATTCATCACACATGTATGTATTGTTCAGCTTGTGGCCTCTGCACTATTTTACCCTGAAGAGATGCCAAACTGCATTTGATTGTTAGCTTTGCGCAATGATAAAACGGCTGAATTTAATCAAATTTAATCAGATATACTGGTTCTTAGCTGCAGGTTTGGGGGGGGGCAGTATTCAGTCAGCTTGGTTATTTGATTATACCCCCTTTATTTATTAAACTCGACCTTCTGGATCAGTTATAGGCTTTTTGGAATATAAAGAGGACTGGAGATGCCACAAAAACTGCTGGCAGGATTGTAGTAGAGAACCACAAGTTTAATGGCTATGAAACTGGGCACCATTGTGGGGGGGGGATGATTCCTGCTGTACAAAAGCTTAGCTGCTTCAGTAAGTTATGAGGGCAGTCACAAGTCTGAAACAATAGCATGACCGCTACGAGGTTCTCATGGATCCAAGGTGCTGTTCCAGGGCCGACCAGGAAGAACAGCCTAACACACCAAAGCAGCTTGCCAAGGGTCCCCCAGAACTACCCCACTCGGCCGGCGCCCCCACCCCCAGGTACACGCAGCATTGCCTGGGATACTGTGTTTTCAGAGCTAAACTGCTTTCAGAGCACTCAGCTGCAAAAACGTATGGCTAACTCTCAACCAGGTTTCGACTTGTTTCATTTGAAGCATTAGACTTTTCCGGTACCCCTCTGCGGGGGACTACTTTATCTGTATCTATTTATTTATTTATTGATTTATTTGTACATTTTTACATGACTGTGTGTGGTTTTGATGACAGATGCTTGAAAGCAGTCTGCTTAGTTTGCAGTATTGACGAGAATTGCGTAATTGGTTTTTCAGTGTCCCAACAAAATGGAAGACCGAACGCCACCAGACAGCCAACCAATCAGAATTACAGCTTCCCGCACCAGTCACCCAATCAGGGGCTAATGTCAAGCAACATGACCCTCCCCTTTCTGCCTCCGACCTTTAATATTATGCAGCTGGAGGACAGAGGAAACGAAGTACAGCTCAATTTAGAGTGTCTGAGGGTGCCTGAGCAGGGAGCCGCAGGGTGAGCATCAGGGCACAGTAACACGTCTCTCTCTCTCTCTCTCTCTCTCTAAACATAACTCCTCCATGGGCTTGATATGATCAAGAATCCTCCCATAACTGTACTTGCTATTTATACTAAAACTGTCATAAATAGCCTGAAATAAGCAGTTGGATGATGTATGAATGGATGTCACGTTTATGTGGGATTTTAGATATTAATTAAAACTCGAAACATACATCCATCAGTCTTTCAACTACTTCTTCAGTTCAGGGTCCCTGCAGGCTGTGGGGCTTCCCAGGCAGTGAGAAACGCGCAGGGCAGGCTTACACCCCGCGTGGGATGCCAGTGAGAAACGCGCAGGGCAGGCGTACACCCCGCGTGGGATTCCAGTGAGAAA